GGGCTAGGGTTTAGGGCTGAGGGTTTAGGGTTAGGGTTTACCGGGGTCTAGGGTTAGGGCTTACTGGCGTTTAGGGTCAGGGTTTACTCGGGTTTGGAGGTAGGGTTCGGGTTTACTTAAGGGCTTCCGGAAAAGGATGTACAGTTGAGGAACTAGGTTTACACTTTACAGATGTCCGGCGGGCAATACACTGCTGATCCATGTATTTCCGGACAGAAAAACAGGAAATGCCAATCGAATTAACAGCTTAACCTGTGGCAAGGTCTTCCGGATGAAATTTCGCATAACTATGTAGCGTGCCGGAAAGCAGGCAGCTGTGAACCCTGAGGATGAACTCTTCTGTGCACTTTACACAAGGTACCAAATCAACGACGGAGAAGCGGACGTTCAGGACCCGAATGATGAAGCATTCACGGTTGCTGCCTGACGACGGACTTCAGAACCGTTTACGACGTGTATGACCAACTGCGGACCGAGGTGATGTCCCCGCTTGCCCTCAAGCGCAGATTCAGGCAACACATTCAAAGGCCCAAAAGCGGCAATCCTTCCAGCAAGGACATGGGCGATCGCTGAGTTATTGCTGTATGAAAGCGGTCGTCAACGGCAGAGAAGTGGAAGAGACAAGACGCGTTCCTCTCGGAGACAGAAAACAATCCGTGCAGAAACACTTTGGCAGCAGACGGCAGATGAGGTACCATCAACACGAGGCTCATGGTAAGTCTTCCAACAGGCTCACAGGTTGGCCGGGATGATTCAGCATCATTCCGCTGCCACCACTTGAACCGCGCACTCGGCGGTTAAGCGACTCTCTTTCCTCGTGCTGTTGCCGCCGACCGAACGACCAAATACCAGTTGCGATTCAGTGGTATTGCAGACCGACGCCGGCAAACAGGTACTAGGGAACCCCGAAACTCATGAGAGGTCTCCAGCGTTGAGGCCTTCAGGAGTGCAGGGAGGCTTCAACACGTGGAACGGTCTCACAAGGATTTGACTGTTCAGGGCTAGGAGGCAGGGATTTACAGCTGCTTCTGCTGAGGCCTCTGGGATTGTTGGGTTGCCCCTCAGGGTCACCTTTTAGTAGAGTAGACTTTCAGGCGCTTGGGGCCACAAAGAGCCGCAGTCCTCGTCGTCCCACTCGCCAGCACACGGTGACTCCGCAAAACCGTGGTAGGTCGTACCTCAGTCTGCGTGCACAGTGCCGTAACTGCACAAGAAACCCTCGTGAGTTTTGGAATCCTTTTGGGCCCCGGGGTGAAGGATTTCTTGGAATCCTTCATATTGGGGCTGAAGGCCCACCTGCGGGGGCTCACCTGTGGGGGCTGAAGGATTTCTCTGAAGGATTTCTTGGAATGGGGGGGCTGAAGGTTTTTTTGGGTGAGATCTCGGGAATTGGATGGACTGACTTGGACCGGCGGTGTTCAGCTCATAAAAGGCAGGAACGTGGCAGTTGGACTAAGAACCCTCTGGTCGTGCTCGCAGCAGCAATTTACAAGCAAATGAATGCCGGAATGTGCATCTCGCGTGGTGCTGTGGACTCAGCTTCTGCAACTGTTGCATGCTGCTCGTGCAACCTAGGACCACACGCGAAATCTCAGACAATCCTCGTCTCCTCGGGTGGCTGTACCAGTCGAACAGACATAACCCCCATATTCCGGAGTAAGACCAGAAACAAAAACCAGGCCGTTGCCTTCCTCTGGAAGGCAGGGTGGCAACATCTTAGTGTTTAAGGTATAGGAAACTACAGGTGGGGAGTTTAGGGTATATAGGAGGCCTCGAACAGGCTTCTATAAGGCCTCTATAGACCTTCTACAAATCGCCGTCGCGGCAACAGGAAAGAATGGGGGGGCCCTTCCGCATCCGAGGCGCAGTCGCCTCCCAAGGAGTCCGTCGCCCCGGTCTCCATGTCCACGCACTTCCGGAAGCTGCAGGCATAGATCGTGTGGTTCTCGCGCTTGCGGACATACTCCCGGGACACAAGGAAATAGACCTGACACGGCCGGCGAGCAGCAGCAACAACAGCAACAACGACAAGACGAAGACAAGAATAAGAAGAACAGCAACCGCCAGAACCGCCAGAACCACCAGAGCCACCAGAGCCACCAGAGCCACCATAACCGCCAGAACCAACAGAACCACTGCAACCACCACAAGACCACAAGCACCAAAAACACCACAACCACAACAACAACAACAACAACAACAACAACAACAACAACAACAACCACCACACACCGCACCAAAACCATAACAACCACAACCAGAACCACGACGACAACGACAACGATAACGACGACCACAACGACGACGAGGACGACCAGAAAAATAATGCACCAGCCATAACAGGTAAGACCCCTAGCAGTGCTAGAACCGAGGGCATATCCCTGGACCACTCCAAAGCAATCCTAAAAATCCCTCATGGGGGGGGAGTCGAATGAGACCAAACGGATTTAGTTTCAGAGGAAAGAGCGAGTGTTGCCCTGCGAGGATGGCGGAGGCCATACGGAAGCTCGAAATACGACTGCTAGTGCTCGGACACTTTTGCTATCTCGACTAGAAAGTTCCCACCACGACTGCTGTAGGCATTGATGTTCGTGCTGCCACCACTCCAGGACTGGTCGCTAAACCCTAAACTTCCTGAACTCCCTCTCGAAGTCCAAGTTCCTCAAATCCCCCAAACCTACAACCCTGGACCCTGAACCCACAACCCTGAACTCTGAACCCCCAAACCCTACCACCCACCCCCGAAACCTACAACCCTGACCCTAAACCCCCGAAACCTACAACCCTGAACTACAACCCTGAACCCTAAACCCCCCAAAACCTGCGATTCCGATCCTCTTCTTCCCACTCGTCAGGGTATTCCACATGGACCATATCATCGCTCGAGATGTTCCTGAGACTCCGGAACGACCAAAATACCCTAGACCTTCAGGGTTCAGGGTTTAGGGTTTAGGGTTTATCGGGTTTGGGGCTTAGGGTTTAGGGTTCAGGGTTTAGGGTTTAGGGTTTAGGGTTCATGGGGTTTAGGGTTACCTACCATGATCCTAGTGAGCTTTTCGACTTCTGGGCTTCCGGGTTAAAGGGCCGAGCAGAGTGCAGTAGGGCTCCTTAAGCCTAAACCCTAAAACCCTCCTAAACCCTAAACCCCATAGCCCTAAACCCTATAAGCCTATCAAACTAAACCGTATAAGCCGATAACCCTAAACCCCAAAACGGTTGATTGCGATCCCAAAGTCCCGATCTGGGCTGGCAACCAGTTGCCAGAAACAGTAAGGACCTCCGCCTCGTGCAGGGAGTTGGGTGGAGCGCGGAATGTGGGGTTAAGGATGCAAAGGGTTGAAATACCCTTTGGCCCTTAAACCTAAAGCCTAAAACCCTGAAACCATGAACCCTAAAACGTTAAACCCTAAACCATGAAGCTCCGAGCTTCGGGGTGGGAGGGTTGAGATAGAACTGGCGAAGATATTCGGACAAAGAGCTGACATGCACACCCGTATGTTCCAATGTCCAAGTGTCACTGTAAAGCTTAAGTTTTAAGCTTTGTTGAAGCTTTTAGGGTTCAGGTTTCCAGCGCCTCCTCATCGGTTTGGCAGAGTGCTATCCGAGGACCGGCATGCTGCTGCATGGTGCGAAACACGTTCTTGTACAGCTGGGACGCGTTCACCTGGATCAGGGGGCCGCTCTAGACTAGGGCTGTTGCGGGAGGTCTTCGACAGTCTTGAATATCAAGAGAAATTCTCGCCGGCATGCTCACAGACTCAGATGTCCCCGCCTGGCGTCCTGTGTCGCGTGCGTACGTCTCGCTGAGATTCAGGGCCTCGGCGAAGGTCCACTGGCCATCTCCATCCAGATCCAGGCGCGCGAAGCTGCTGCTGAGGAGAACCTGTGAGGGCCGTGAGGGCCGTGAGGGTTGCAGGGTCGGTTGGAGTGGGAGTGGGGCTTTGGGACTTCAGGTCCTTGCGGGCTTTTGGGAGCCCTTGTTGAGATCCCATGAGCCTTCCTTTGGGCTTGTAGAGTTTGGGCTGTGGAGTGTAGGTTGTGGCGTCGACTGCAACCCTGCATCCCAAGTTTGGGGGTTCAGGGTCAGATGCTAAGACTTTAAGTTTGAGGCTGCAGGGCTGGGATACTATCATGGCTGCTGTGCTGGCAGCATCAGTAGTGAGTAGGACCGCCCATGTTCTGACTGGCTCCTACATATGCACACACACAGAGATTCATGGACGGAAAGTCGTGTTAAAGCTCGTGCTGGACCTGGCTTAGAGACAGGCATCAAAGGCCGAAATCCCGAAACCCTACACCCCAACACCTTACATCCCTTGCACCCTGTCGACCTCGTCAGGGGTGCAGGAAAGGCTGCTGTTGTGCATCCAGCAAACACCTGGTGAATCCAGGGCACCTTTGCGGTCTCCGTTGTGGGCTTCCGGTTCGCCCCAAACCAACAGATCAGCCCACTCCTTGCCCAAACCATACCACTTCCGGGGGCCATATGCCACATATAGAAGCTGCAATCCTAAACCCTAAAACCCCTAAGCCTCATGCCAGCGACTCGAAGTCTGCTTTGGTTGCTGAGCGAGTTTGCAATGAGCTTGCAATAATTCGATCAGTTCGATCGCAATCCTTGCTTTAAGTTGGAGCCTCGGTAGAGCAGTCTTCTGTGCCACGCTCTGACACACAGAAGGTGGAACTTAGACCCCGAACTGCAGCGGTGATTCATTCGTGCCGGCTCGCAAGAACAAGCTCAGAGCGGATGCTCTTGACAATTAACAAAGTCGGGGGCCCTTGTGTGACATAAGGTACGTAAGATATCATGACTAAGAAATGGTCAGGCGAGCCATTAAATCGAGTCTGTGCTTTAAACGCATAGATGGGTCTTTAAGCAGTCCATAAATCCCAAGGCCCAAAAACAACAGCCTGGACCCGAGACCTGAAACCCAAACGCCGTAAACCTCTCCACCCCAAAGTAGCTGCCGAAGCGACCAGACTCTCCGAACAGCAGCGCCATGCGCTCGCCGCGATAGCCGCGAGTCTGTCCTTGCTTTCCCAGAAACTCGGAACTACTGACCACTGGGCTGGAAAGCTAGGACCCCCCTCATCTCATTTAGGGGTGCTGCGGCTGAAGCGTAGGGCTGTGGGTTGAGATTTCCCCTGAAAGCCCTGCACCCTAAAACCCTAAAACCCTAAAACCCTAAAACCCTAAAACCCTAAAACCCCAAACCCTTTCCCTCAAAGCCAAGGCACTCCAGAGAAGGTACACCACGGCAGCTTGCACAAAGAAGTTCAGCAAGAGGAGACTCAATCCCTGGTCCAGGGCTTGGGGGGCTTATAGAGGGCTTAAGTTTTCTGGCCGAGGGCTCAGGGTTAAGAGTAGAGACAGTTTCAGGGAGATGGCATGTCCTTCTAAAGCAAGTACTGCAACAAAGATTTCGGCGAGGAGAACACTACAGTGAGAAGCCAAAACCTTGAAACTCCCTGTCCGACTTTGTGGGGCTTTCCCGCTTGGTCCTTTCCAATCACCCGCTTGGTGATGAGCTGCATCAAGAAAGCATTGTCATAGGCAGATTTCGAAAGGGGCAGCGTCCTGCGAAGGAGTGGAGCGCTGACGAATGATCTCCTACTATAGGGGCCATGACACTTGGAATAGTCGTGATAATTATTTTGGCTCCCAGGTTATCCAGACTTGGAACCATCTAAAAGTTCTGGAGGCTGTAGAAATGCAGCATGCAGGGCCTGCTTCGGGCTCACTGGCTAAACCCTGGAAACACGTGTAAAGGCTGCATGGCTCAGAGCACAGCATCAGGTTTCAAAATAGGCTCAGTCTAGTCACAAGTTGTTGAACAACTTCACAACCCCTTATAGCACCCTAGGACGACCTTCACAAGACCCGTCTGGTCAACCCTCACAAAACAACTCGGATGCCACCCGGCCTGTACCCCGACACTTCGCGGAAGGTCGCCGTTCCCAGCATCGAACGTCTGGTAAACCGGGTCGTCATGTGACCTGCTTTGGGATTTTCTAGGGTTTCGTGCTTATCGTCCATGCGGGGTTAAGGGTTTGGGCCTGAGGCATTATGCGGCATTACCGGGTTTATCAGAGTTTTGGGTTGAGGGGACTCTCAGATCCATCCATCCACCCATCCATCCCTCCATCCCTCTCTCTCTCTCTATCTCTCTATCTCTCAATCTCTCTATCTATCTATCTATCTATCTATCTATCTACCGGTGTATATATATATATATAGAGAGAGAGAGAGCATGTGTGTAAACACACATATAGTCAACATGTATACACCTATACGCAGCAATTACTTGGCTTTTGTTTATGCATCAATTTAGGTATTTAGGTATTCCTGCCTTTTGGCGGTAACTTATGTTCAAGTTACAACGCAAGTTAAGTTTCCGTTTCCTTATAAGAAACACTGTTCTTTTCAAGAGCCATTATGTAGCGCGAAGGCTTGTTGCTCAGCAAAATGACATGAGCTTCATGGGCTTATTTTCGAAGTGAGCATCTCGCATGCTATGACATTGGCTTCATGAGTGTTTTGGTGTTTTAATGTGAGGACCGAAATTCCGGATGCTAGGTTCGAATGGCTTGGGCCCAGGAGTTGACCGTAAATCCCTACGCCTGACAACAGCTGCGGCATCTGTTGAATCTGATGTCGCAAGCAATGTGACATGCTAACATACCCACTGTATGTATGTGTGTATATATAGAACTATGATAGAACTACATATATATATATACAAACACGCACATACACAGCTCCTTCAAATCTGAAACTTGACAGCGCCTATACCACGGACCTCAAACGCCAAAGCCCATTTCTCCACACAGGCCTGACCATCTCTACATCAGCTGCGCCAGCACCTTCCAAGACGTCGCATGGCTGTGGTATGCGACGGAAGACTTAAGGGATCAAACGCTGGCACCCGAAGATCTGAACCTAAAACCTAAGCTTACCCGGACCTCCGCAAACACGAAATCCCACGCGACTCTGTAGTCTCCACTGTAGTTCCTGTTTGGGGAGTGCAGTGCTCTCCAGCATAGGCTCTTAGGCAACGGGATGAACCCCCAAAAAATGCTCGACCTCACCTTGGCATGCAGCTCCGTACGCTTAGAGTAATTATAATAGGATCTAAGCGCAGGGCTCAGGGCTTCATGACGGCGCCACAGAGCGGTGTGGTTTCCGGACTTGCAAAAAAATAAAACCGCCATGCTCTGTGGATCCGTCTCGCAGCCTCTTGCTTGAAGATGTGATTTGGCAATGCGAACCTCAAGTTGGCCTCCCCGCACGCCACGATGTCAACAAAGACTTTCCGGTGCGGGCGCGGCAGCGTGGCTGGCCAGTGCCATGAGTGCGCCTTCTCTTGCACCGTCCCAGCGGACTCCATGGATTCCGGTGTTTCCTTTTTTGACATAGGGTCGTGGAACGGATGGACTATGAGTGCATCGGAAATCATATTTAGAAACTTAGGTAACACATGGTAAAACCCAGAACCTGAACACGATTTCATTTCAACGCTGACTTACCGGCCCGACACCCCTTCAAACCCTCAAGCCTTTAACCAAACCCCAACCCTCATCAAACCTCAACATTCTAGCTGCCTGACTTTCGTTGGCATAAATCTTCGTGTGTGATCGCTCAGGCAGGAGAATGGAGGCCAAGTTTTTGGTTGAGGCTTACAAGAACCAGTTATGTGGATCCTTATAGAGGGAAGTCCAATCCCCCCCAAGTCCTCCACAAGGTTCGCTGAGGGTCCCAAACCGAGACTTAGCGTATCTTCATACCACAGAGACTGTTTCCGGCAAAACACTGCAACACCACAAACAAGACTTCACTTCCAGAACCACCTGAGAATCTAAACACGAATATTCCCCATCCTCAAGCGCAGTTCTTGCTCGGCCAGTATCCTCAAGGAACTACAGGTTAGACTTCAGGGTTATGTAGGGATTCTACTACCTCCAGAGGCGTAGATCTACTTTTAAGACTTCCTGCATAAGGTTCCGTGTGCCCAACTAGTATTTGCTTGTGCCGCACAGTACTTAGATTATAGGGACTACTTAGAGGACAAGTCATAAACTATTTGGGCACATGGGACCCTACTTGGAGTTCATGGGACTTAATAAGTACAGTTATAAGTACCTTTAATTGGGCTGATTAGTAATTACAAGTATAGTTACCTTATTTATAACCCTAGTTACTAAGTCCCATGAACCTCAAACCCTAAACCCCCCTTAAACCCTAAACCCTAAACCCTATAGTTACTAAGTCCCATGAACCTTTAAGTAAACCCTTATGAGATCCGAGGCCCGACCTGGCTCCTCTCTCTCAGGGAGATCGTCGCCACGCCTTCGACCAGCGGCCCAGGGAATCCAAGGTGTTTCTACTTGACCCTGAACCCTAAACCCTAAACCGACGGGACTTAGGGTTTCGGGCTGCGGGTTTGGGGACTGGAGGCAGAAGGGATTCGAAACTTTCTAATCAGTGCGTGTGCTTTCGAGCTGCATGCCGTACCCCGAAAAGCCTAAACCCCGAAAGCCTAAACCCGAAGGCCCTAAACCCCAAACCCACCCTTCCGATACTTCAGCGGCTCCGGGCTTACGACACTTCGTAAGTGCCACTCTTCCGAAGCTCGGAAGGCGAGAAGTGCCATCCAGTTATCGGTAGTAGAGGATGTCTGGTTTAGGGTTTCGGGTTTAGGGTTTCTGGTTCAGGGTGTCTGGTTTAGGATTTCTGGTTCGAGGTTTCTGGCTAAGGATGTCTGGTTTAAAGGCTTCGGGAGTGGGGTCTCGCGTTCTGTAGTATAGGGCATGAGACGAGAAGAACACACCTATACACCGGACACCTGCGACCGTGTCAGGCTCCATAAAATGCAAACCGGGGCTCGAGCATCGGTTGGTATTCGGGGTTGAGTTTTTTTCGCATGGGGAGACCATCTTACACCTTGAAACAAATCCGGCTCTGAAAACCGGACACCCTGAAGCCCTAGACTAAAACCCATCACCACCCCATTAAGCCCGATACTCGTAAGGGGTCATATGGTAACAAAACTGAACAATGATTCCGATGAAACATACAGAATACCTATCAGTTCCCTTCTTTTGGCTTCACCACTGATGTATCTAGGGTCCTATAACTGTTCGAATCCTTCTTCCAAGGTTTTGAGGTGTAACATACTATAATGTTGATAATGAGCTGATTCTCTCGACCCCTAAACCCTAAACTCCTAAACCCAAAACCCCCTAAACCCTAAACCCTGAAACCTCTAAACCCTAAACCCCAAAACCCCTAAACCCTAAAACCTCTAAACCCTAACCCAAAAACCCCTAAACCCTAAAACCTCTAAACCCCAAACCCCAAAACCCCTAAACCCTAAAACCTGTAAACCCTAAAACCTCTAAACCCTAAAACCTCTAAACCCTAAACTTTAAACCCTAATCCCTAAAACCCCCAAACACTAAACCCCTAAAACCCTAAGGTTCTGAAACCACCACAGCAGCCTCGAGTGGTCGCTCTCGAAGCTGCGACTCCGGCCTCTGGCACGGTTTAGGATTTCCGGTTTTAGGGCTTCGGGCTTAGGGTTTCGGGTTTAGGGTTTAGGCTTTCGGGTTTAGGGTTTAGAGTTTCGGGTTTAGGGTTTTAGAGTTTAGGGTTGTGGGTTTAGGGCTTTCGGGAGTTGGTGTTCAAGGTTTAGGATTTTAGGGTTTAGGGTTGAGGGCTCCCTAAACCCTAAACCCTAAACCCTAAACCAATTTCGGGGTCAGGGTTTACGGGGGAGTTCAGGGCTTTCGGGTTTCGGGCTTTTGGGCTTACAAGAATGGGCAAACGGGGACCCCGAATTGCGCCGGCTCCGATCCTGAAGGCCGTTCTGCATCTCAGCTAAAAGTTTAGGGTTTAGGGTTCAGGGTTCAGGGTTCAGGGTTTAGGGTTTAGGGTTTAGGGTTTAGGATTCCGCAGGCCCGCCTACCTTGGAGAAAACTTTGAGACAAGATACTTGGGGCCCAAGGTCAAGGCTCAACTATGCAGGTCGTCATAGACCTCACACTCAGCCCAACAAAAAACCTAAACCGAACTCGAGTAGGGTTTTTTTTAACATGCACTAGCTCCTTTTCTCCGCAGAAGCCTGCCCATTCGGGCTTGCACGTAGGGTGCCACACACCGTGAACAAAGCACTTACTGGACTCAGAGAAGTTCGGTTTTGGGTTTAGGGTTTAGGGAATTTAGGATCTAGGGTTAGGTTTAGGGTTTAGGGTTTAGGGTTTAGGGTTTATGGTTTAGGGCTTAGGGTTTAGGGTTTAGGGTTCAACTCAACGGATACAGTCTTCAAAGGACCCGGCTCCGACGTGGTGGCGACCGACCTCACTTGAGCTCGAGGGTCGGGCTTTGTAGAACCCTTAGGTTTAGGGTTTAGGGTTTAGGGTCTTAACTTAGGCGATCTATCCGGGTTCTGTAAAATTTCCTGTATTAAACGGATCTATGAGGGTCGGGAGACTTAATTAGTAAGTATAGGTGTTAAGTAGACTTACAAGCACCCTAGAAGGGGTCCTAATTGGGGATATGATACTTATACCCTTGGGTAGAAGGCTTAGAGTATATAGGTTCTAGGGCCAGTTTAGAGCTTCAGTTTAGGATAAGGGTCCAGGTACCCTTAAGGGTCCTGTAAGTTTTTGTTGTTCTTTATGGGTTCTACAATCAAGGTTTCAGCTTGATGGGACTTTGGGGAGTCTGGGCGGCCGAAAGTTTAAGGTTGGTATAGGGCTTATCGTTAAGGGTTTAGGGTTTAGGGTTTGGGGTTTACGGTTTAGGGTTTAGGGTTTAGGTATTTGGCTTTGGAAGTGAGAGTCTTGTGGGACAGCGTCCAGAACGCAGTGTCCATGGTTTCACAGGTGGCTTGGCGGCGTTTGTAGGGGCCTAAGGGCCTTAATAATTAGAATAAGGCTTTGAGGTACATTATACCACAATTTGAATGAGGAGCCCCCCAAAATAGTATAGGTAATTGTTACGGCTCCTATATTAGTCTTCATGTCCCTAAACCCTAAACAGTTTACAAACTCGGAAGCCTGGCTTGGAAGGATTGTTAAATCTAGAAGCATTGCCAGAACTGGGAGAAGTTGCAGTATGGTTCTAACTAATTTTCGAGCCTGGTGGGCTGGGGATAGCCATAGGCTTCAATGAGTGGTTCTTCTCGGGCTCTACCTTGCGGAGTGGATCTCCACAACAACTGCTTGCACAGGGAGCCCTTACCAATGGTGACTTCGGAGGCACGCTGTGAAACCCTAAACCCTAAACCCCTGAACCCTAAACCCCTAAACCCTAAGCCCTTTTAATGACCCCTAAACTCTGGAAACCCTTAACTGGGTGGTTCTTGGCGGCGGTCAAAAGGGTCCGGGTTAAGGGTTCATAGTTCAGGGATTAGGGTTTAGGGTTCAGGGTTACTGTTTGTCTTCTTTCTTCTGAATACTCTGAACAGTGTAGAATAGCGAACAAGAGCGGTGTAGCAGATGCGATCACATGTGCACAGGGTTGAAGGTTTAGAGTTCACGGCTGTTCTTCGGGGCTGGTGATTTCCCAGGGTGGTCAATCAGAGATCATGTATTACCCTAAACCTAAACACTAGTAGTAGTGTTTAACAGGGGCTTTCCGTTTGTTGGTAAGATCTTTGCATACAATGCTTCCTGCCGGCTGTCAGGTTACCCCATGTATACCAAGCTTTTGGGACCCCCATACAACACATATACACACACACACACGCTGACAGTTGATCTCACTCAAACATCCTGTACAATCCGTACAGCTTCGTTTGAACGAGCTCCAAACATAACCTAGACCCTAAACCCTCAACCCTAAACCCTGTGAAAACTTAAAGGAAGCATAGCGGTCATCTGAAAATAAACCCTAAATCCATGTTAGACTTTCAGCTGAACCAAGACGAAACCGTATAGAGCCAGTATGAACACTTGTACAAGACCCAAAGCAAAACCTCTGTACTTCATAAAACCCTGTGGGACCATTCAAGCTTAAAGTGCCCCTGAACCCTATACCCTTGCCAGGTATAGAGCCCATTAAGCTACTCTATCCTACGGGACGTTTTGAAACACCCAGTATAAGACCGTACACACAAGCCGGTCAAGTTTCGAAATCCCCCTAGAGGTCCTAAATCCTAAGCCCCAAACCGTGTACCCTTACCATAAGTGTCCCCCAAAAGGTCCTAAATCCTAAGCCCTACACCGTGTACCCTTACCATAAACCCTAAACCCTAAACCCTAAACCCTAAACCCTAAACCCTTACCATAAGTGTCTGAGCTCGGAACTCCGCCTCGGCGGAGAGGGACCTCGTTGCTGAAACCACAGAGCAAGGCACCCCCTCTCAAAACAAAGGGTTTAGGGTTTAGGGTTAGGGTTTAGGGTTTAGGGGTTTGGAAACCACAGAACAAGGCACCCCCTCTCAAAACAAAGGTTGGGGCTTAGGGCCTAAGAGTTAATTCAACATACGGCTTTTTTTAGGTAGGCTTAGCGCTTAGAGGTTAATCAGGGTTTGCAAGGGGCCAAGGGCTTTAAGCCCTTGTGGGCTTTTGGGCTTTTCACCTGCTAGGCTTGAGAGATGAGGGCGTAAGGTTTGGAGTTTAGGCTTTTGGATGTTTAGGCTTTTGGTCTGGGGTTTTCGGTTTCAGGTTGTAAATATCTGATCTTGAGGGTTTAGGCTGAGCGGATCGGGAGCTTCTTCAGTCAGGGAATGAGGGTATAGGGCTTTAGCTATAGGGTTTAGGGTTTAGGGGTTTGAGGGTTTCAGGTTTAGGGCTTAAGGCTTTGAGGTTTTAGCTGTAGGGTCAAGGCTCTGTCAAAGAGCTGGTGAGTCCTGTTTGTGGTCGTTGCAGATGGGCTTCGTCATACAATTCTTGCACAGCATGCGGACGCACCACGCGGCGGTACTACACGAACGGGGCCTGCGGAGTGTCTGTGTGTGTGTGTGTGTGTATGTCTCTCTCTCTCTCTATATAATATATGTAGGTTCATGTGCACATATGTATATGTTTATTCGTATATGTATAAATACACTTGTGTGTATATGTGTATATATATACATATATATATATATATATGTATGTATGCAGACTTTTCGCCCCATGCTCATACTGAACTCCTAATGTCCGCTCTACCTGAAACCGTCTTAAGCCCGTGAATACCAAGTCCTTGCATGTCCTTAAAGCAGGGGTAGCTTACGTAGATGGATTTGAATGTTCATTTGGCCGTACGGTGACGGAGTCGGGCTTAGACGCCAATCCTACACCATCGAAGCTGAGGCTTGTATTGTCTGAAGCTCGAACTGGGTTAAGTTCAGGGCTTACATATAGGATTGAGGGCGTAGAGCGCACCTAATTGTAGTCTCCTTTGTAGTTCCTTTTCGGCGTAACTTGATAGAGTCCTAAACATATAGTTGGACTTTCCTGGGAGGAACAGTTCTGCCAGCGTCTACTTGGAGGGTCGGGGGACTTAGTAAGTAGGTAAGAAGTAGACTTAGAAGTACCTTTAAACTGATCCTAATTGGGGTTATGGTACTTAAAAGTCTAGAAAATGACTACTTACTAAGTCCCCCGACC